TTGTTTTGTTGACCCTCGTTGGGTTGGGCTGGTCGCTCCAGCCTGGCCAGGTCCCTCTGCAGGGCCTTCCTGCCCTCCAGCAGATCGACACTTCCACCCAACTTGGTGTCATCTGCAAACTGACTGAGGGTGCCCTCGATCCCCTCATCCAGATCAGCAATGAAGATGTAATGTTTGCGCTGCAAGTACAGTTTGTGTTGAGAAAGGGTTGTTTTAAAAAGGCATAAACTGCTGATGGTAACAAAGTAGGGGGTCGTTTAGGAAAAGGAAGATAGCCGAGATGTGTGATTGCATGGTTCGCTTCCATCCAGCTTTGGCAGATGCGTTTACATTCCCAGAGAATCTTCCAATATTTCTTGGGAAGTATGCAGAAGTGAAACTAAAGTAGATCCTTTGCAACATAGGGAAAAATAAAAATACGGCATTCAGTGTGTGTTCCTCGTGTTTTTTTTCTCATGCCGGTGCTGCTTAGGTGGTTGTGTTCTTAGTGGAAATTTTGGATTATTCATAATCAGTTTTCAGAGAAATTACCGTGTGGCCAAAGTAACCGTTACACCCAGCGAAAGACCAGCAGCAAGGATAAAAAGTTCAGGAATAAGCCGTCATCTGAAATTTATTTACAGACGCTATTAGAAGAATACTTGAGAATAACATTACATGAGGAAAGAAAACAGGGGTTTGCGAATGACTTGCAGACAGTAGAAAAAGGCTAAATCAAGTTCAGTATTTAATGTCAAATCTGTTACATGGAAGGTTGTCAGAAATACAAAGCATTGATCTAGTTTAGGGTTAAATACAGTTTTTTGCAAGAAAGTATTGGCGTTTTTTGCAAAACTGAAGGTTTTTGGCTTTGTTCTTTTTTTCCTTGCTTTCTAACTCTTCAAATATTTTATTACTTTAGAGCATAGTGTGGAATTGGTACAGAAAAGCAGGTGGACTGCTTAAATCGGTGTAGTCAAAACAACTGATATTAAATGTGATTTAAATAAGCAAAGAGAAGAAATATGTAAAAATTTTAATTATTTTAATTATGTTTTTTCCTAAGGAGTAGTTATATTGGTTATAAACCATTCAAGTGTGCTAAATTACACGAAGTATAGACTCTAAATTAGAGATTTTTTTTGCTAACGGGCATGCTTTCTACAAATACCTGTGAAAGTCTATTCAAACATAAGCAGAGGTGAAACATATATATATATTCTAATCTGAATTGACGTCTTTTATTCTAGAGTGGGAAAACATTAATTTTTCTCTTGCGATTTTTCTGATTGCAGGAGGAATTTGGAGTGTAATTACAAGGCATAAAACAAAGCTTTTTTAAGCCTTTTTTTTTTAATTGGGCAAGAAGAATCTGCTTCCAGCGTGGGGAAATTTGAGAAAATGTGCTCTTGTTTTTTAATCTAGCTGCTTTAGCAAACAAAGGAGGTGTTGGTTGTGAGCAGAACCGATGTTTCTTGTTTCCATCTCTTTCAAAACATTGCAACGAGCAGACCTTTCCCTTTCAGATTCTGCTTTTGCTCAGAGATTGCTTCACAGCCATGGCACTGCAAAGGCTTTCCTGGGTTTTCAGCTCCTGCGCTCACAAGTATTGATTTAATCATTCACCGAACTGACCCGGTTGGATAAACTGAAATAAGGAAAGTTGCTCTCAATTGCTCTTTTGGAAGTGGCAAACTTAAAGTGGGGTCAAGTTGTTGTCGGAAATGGGGTCAGCGCTTTGAGCCAGGTTGGCTGTGGATCCGGACTCGGATCAGTTAACGTTTTGCAATGTTACGCCTCGAGTTAACTGCCCGGTGAAGACGTCTCCGCTAGCAGGTAGCTCACAGCAGGCTGTTACGTGTACGAAGCGAAAAGCCAGTTGTACTGAATGTGATTGTTGAATAATTCAAATGAGTATTTAAGTAACAATAAATTAAACTCTTCGTCCACCTTGAAACAGAGAAGAATGGAAACGCTGGGACGTTTTTGTGGTTTAACTCTTCTGAAACGGAATTTGTTACAAATGAGGCTTTTTGGTAGTAGACAACTACAGTTGAAGATGGATAGTTATAGCCCTAAGTAAAAATGAAGGGTTTGGGTTGAATTGTGATCTCAATAGAAACATTAGAGCAATTCAGTAACTTTGGGATCTGGCTGGATTACCGAAAGTATGTAGAAAAAAGCAGCAAACGGAGCAATTCAGAGAAAGCTCTCCGGACTAAACCTTACTGTCTGTGGTTGTAGGGACCAAACGGGGTGACCCTTGTGTTCCTGGTGAACCTTATGTTCCTACAAAACAATTCAAGAAGCAGCTGTTATTTTACTTTTAAACTGTAGCCTGTCTGCAGTGGGATCCCTTAGTTCTTCTCGTGTTTCACAGAGGCAAATGAAATCTGGGAAAGGGCGTGAGGTCTCGGAGATGTGGAAAAGCTGTGCTCAAAAGAGATACCCACAAAGGATGAGGAGAACCTCAGCAGAGGCAACTACATCCAAACCCTGTCTTCTGTGGCACCGGCCGTGAGAAGAGGATGTAGTGGAGAGTCTGAAATGGCAAACAGAAAGACATTATAAATAGAAACACTAAAGGAAGAACTGCTAATTCTTTCTCGCCTCTCTTGTTTTCAGGGTATGGCCTTTACTTTACACGAACGACAGATGCTTGGGTTGCAAGGACTTCTACCTCCTAAAATAGAGACACAAGACATTCAAGCCTTACGCTTCCATAAGAATTTGGCCAAAATGACTGATCCCTTGGAAAAGTAAGCGCTCCTTTGGCCTTCTTTTGTCATGCAAGTAAATGGAAATGACTGTAAATATTTCATGGGGATAACCAAACAAGGTTTCTATGCCTCCACTGGCTTTTTCAGTTGTTGGAGGCTATTTTTGCTTCTGCACGGAAAACTGCTTTCATCAATCATGCATTCATCACGCGGCTAAATGAGGCTGGGGAGCTTTTTTTTTCTTATATTCCATAGGCATAAGGTAACAAAAAAGAATGTGCACAAATTAGCCAGTAACAAAGCTGCAAACCTTGCTGTAATATGTATTTCTGTAATCCATAAGATTTGGGTGGCAGGTTGTTAGAGCACAGAACTATTGGAGGCGAGGGAGGTGGCAGCTAGTGCATGCTAGAAAAATATGAGAGAGTGAAGGTAAATTGAGGGTTTGATAATTAGGTATGAAAAACAGTGTTTATCATACAGTAGTTACTGCTAGAAAGGAATTACAGGGTTAGAATTTTGAGTCTTATAATGGGTAATTTTTTTATATCAATTTTTTCTTTTGTTTAACCCACTGGTTTGTGAAAAAAACTTGAAGGATTTTGATTTGGTTTTTTTTTAGAATGGCGTGTTTTTAGCATCCTGTTACTGTTTTCATATAAGCCTATGTGTATCGACATGTAAAAATAGGCATTCTCCTAAAGGCGAGAGGAGCAGTGGAATGGTGTGAGGCTTACTGGACCGCATCGAAACCCTTTTGTTCTCAGGAAAACTGAAAGATGACTTTTAAATCCGCATCATGTCCCTTGCTGATCTGACACAGCCGTGTCATCTGTATTGGCAAAGTGCCCGGTTGCGGTAGCCTAAATCGCTAATTCATTATCTTTACGTTGTCGGGTCAGCAAGGCTGGCTATGAATTGATACACGGTAGATTGGTAGGTAAATTTGCAAAAATGCAGCTTTAATTTACACGCCGAGGTAAGTCCTTCAAAATGAACTTTTTGTTAGGAGTTAATTTGTTTTCCAACTATGTTAATGGTAGGATTAATAAGACCTTACTGTCAGGACCTTACTTTTTTTGGATGAAAAATTCTTTCACAGATAATTTTTTTCTTTTTTTAACAGTAATGAGACTCCCAGCTGCATCCTGTAATAAATCCATGGGTTATCTTTTATTGCAATGCATCTTTGTGCATTAAGTTGCTAGCACGCATGGTATGACATATCCAGTATTTTTATTTCAGCTTTTTTGTACTGCTACTCTCTCTTTTCCAACTTTTGTTTAGTGCTCAAAGCCCGACTTGAGTGGAAGCAGGAATTTCATTGAAAAAAATAGTATTAAGCAAGTTTGGTTTTTGCTTTGACATTTTTCATGTTGTTTTAAATAAGCGTAAATGTGAAACAATGTGTTTTTTTTTTCCTTTTGCTTAATTTCAGGTATATCTACATCATGGGAATCCAAGAGAGAAATGAAAAATTATTCTATAGGGTATTACAAGATGATATTGAGCGGTTAATGCCAATTGTATACACACCAACAGTAGGCCTTGCCTGCACCCAGTACGGACACATCTTCAGGAGACCAAAGTAAGGACAATAAATATATATTGCTGCTACTTTTATTATCATTTTTTTCTGTAGACTTACCTGAGGTTTGGAAGTGTTTATTTCGTTTTCATTTGGATTCAGCTACACAAGAGTTGTACCGATTCAGGGCAGTAAAGTTACCCCTCTGCTCGGGGGTAACTCACCATTAAACGCACCCCTGCAGGCAGCCTGCACAGAGAAGCAGGAACACAAGTGCGCGCACACCCCTACAGCAGATTTGCTGGAGGAAGCTCAGGCTAACGGTGGTCCCGGCAGAATCGAAGCCGTGACCGGCGTGTTCCTGCCGGGGGCAAAGGATCCACGTGCCGAACGATT